CTCTTTTTTTAAATCTCAATATGTCAAAGGTAGGGATCGGCGCGGGACGGGATCCCGAACTCCCGATTTTTTTGATTTTCGGGATCCGAGATTTTTTCCAGGATTTATCCCTCGGGGTCCCGGCATCGGTTAAGAAAAAATTCCGACCCGGTATCCCGGAAGTTTGATTTTGCCGGTCTCTAGTCTAAGGCATTTACAGGGGCGAAAATTGTTTAATTTAAGCAGGAATTACCTTATGATTGGAGTCATTTAACTTTTCTTTATTGGCTTGAAAATGTGCGGACAAACTTTTTATTTTTTTCAGATTTCGTTTAGAAGGAATTGAATTTTGTGATTATCCGAGTAAAATATTCAAAAAAGTTTTTGAAAATTCTCCCTATCAAAATCTCAGCAATTTTTTGATTGAGGAATGTACTTGTTTACTTTTTGGGAAAGAAGCTGAAAATATTAGTGTTTTGTTTAATCAATGTTCTCAATATTCTTGGATATTTCCTATTGGTGACTTTTTTTGAAGTTTTAAATAATTAAATATCCGCAAAATACTGGCGGGAATAATTTTCCTTCCAATTTCCTGTTTTACCCTCCTATTCAAGTAAATTAAAAAAAATATTTTTTAGAAATTTTTAAAAATTTGCGGACAAAACTTGCGGACTTTTCAACTCCCCAAATAAAATTATCTTAAATTCTAATCATTTTTCCAGTTGTTACATTTGACGAAAAAATTTTATCGTTAGAACAAACAAAAGAAATAACAGAATATGGCACTCTAAATAATGCTAGAACACAAACAGTTTTACTTTTAAATAATTTTATTAGCCAATTATCAACTTCATTAAATACAATTTCTTGTCAACTTCCTCAAATATTAGATGCACATTTGGTGGCTTCTAAAGAAAATAAAAAAGAAGAAGAGAATAATTCGAATAATTCTCAAAATTCTTCTATTGCTGTTTAATTTTTATTTTTCTGTTGATTTAAAAAATAAAAAATTATTTTGATTAAATTTTGAATATTCTTTTGTTTAAATTCTCGCAATCAAAGCCGAAGAATGGAATGTTAGGTGTGAACATAATTACCATTCGAACAACGTAATGGCTCCCTGGTTATAAAAATTTTTAAAATGCGAATATTTCGATTAGTGCTTAAAGCTCGTACCAAAATTTGTACTCGTATTTAGGTACGAATATTGCCCACAAGGTCAAATACCAAAACACAATGAAAAAAAGAAGGAATGAAGAGGATTTACAAATGAAAAAAAATAAATTTACAAAAAGTTCTTCAAATTTAATTTTTACGTATACATATATTCTACTACATATAAATTTATATAAATTTTAAAATTAACAAAAAACAAATTTTTTATGAAAAAATTATCTTTTCTAATAATTAAATTCATTTTTTAAATATAAACCAATAGAAATTGCTCCAACATTAATTATTTTCTTTTCTTCAAAAACATTATATCTAAAAAGAATATTTGGTAATACATATGTACACTCTGTCTCAAAATTATGAGTTCACCCTTGAATTTCGTCATAATATGGGTTTCAGACTACAAAATCAAAATATCTTTTAATATACCGTAAATGCTTGAATAATTACCCTCTCTCAAATAATTACCCTCTTTAATAATTACCCCCTCCCTTTCCTTTTCAAATTTTAAAAATATTTAAAAATCATTGTACATTTTAATTATTGAAACATTATAAGAATCAATATCAAAAAATAAACGGATATCCTCCTCGATTTATTGAGATATACCCCAAAATTAGCCCATCCTCTCGATTAATTACCCCCTCCAGCGAGAGGTCGAAACAATAATTACCCAGGGTAATTATTCGAGCATATACGGTACGGTTATTTAGCGTATTCTGAAGTATATTGCAAGTTCTCAGACAATTTACAATATTAAGGCGAAAATTACGCCAAAATTTCTTAAAAGCCACTGTCCCAAAATACCAAAATCCTTTAATTAAAAAATTAAACTCACTTATCAAATAGAAATAGATAAAAATCACGAGCGTTTAAAAAAATAAACTCTTTGTTTTGTCCAAACACAATTTCTTTTTGCTCTTCTATATTATTTGAAAATGTTCCAAATAAATAATCAAAATATAAATATAATCCAAAAATAAATAATTGTGAAGTAATTTGTTGGATATTTTCTTTAAAAGAGGAATTTTTTGTTTGATTTTAACATTAAATTTTCTTAAATAAAGCAGCTGGACTATAGCTATTTCTCTCCTTTATCTAGTGCAAAAGGTTAACTAGATGCGGATGGGAATGAACAAGCATTTTCAGTAGACCGGACTGATTTGTTAGCCATTACACCACGTCCCCTACTGCACAGCCTTAGGAATTAAATAGCTATATATGTATGCTTTACAATAGCTAGTCCGAGTCTAGAATCTAAAAAATCCTAGCGGTTGAAGTTGAATACTAAAACTCAATCGAAGGAAGAAGGAGAACTTAACGAGAATTTAAAATCCATTAAAATATCGCTCTAGCAGCTAAATTGTTAAAGCTAATTTTTAAAGACTAATTTTTAAATTAAAAAACCTCCTCTTATTTAAAAAAAAGGAATAATTTCTGCATACCTTCCAATTTAAATTCTTTCTCCAAATTATCCAAAATATTAATTATTTTACTAAGATTATTTAACATTTTTAAAGAAACATTTTCCTTTTTTAATTCCTCAATAAAAGCCAATCTTTTTTCTTTATTCATTAAATATTTTGTTTTTTCAAAAAGTAAATCAGGGTCCCGCATACTTTTTAAATCCACAAATTTTGTTAAATTTTCGTAGAAAAGTTTTGTTTCCTTCTTGCTGAATGCTAAAAATAATTTTCGGATTTTATAGTTTAAATGTGTGCTTTCCCAAAATTCAGGACAGTTAACAACCCCCTACTTATTTCCAACTCTTTATTCCATTACTGAATGGGGAGCAGGCCAGTGTACCTCGAGCCCAATGTACCGCCGAGCCATAACTTTGTTCAAAATTGTCGAATCTGTGGCGCCCTGGTATGGTTCGATTCAGCTGGTCGAGCCGCATCGAACCATACCAGGACGCCACGGATTCGACAATTTTGAACAAAGTTATATCACGGCGGTACATTGGGCTCGCGGTACATCGGGGTGTACCCTACTGAATGACTGTTTTTATTTTTATTTTTGAGTTCATTAAAATTACATATTTATCGTAAATGCTCTAATTAAAGCCCCGGGCTACTATTTTTCAACATGCCTCTCTGGCTGGGTTTATATTTTTCGATGGGCCTCCTTAGGTGGGCTTGTATTAGATATGGGCTTCTAATAGAGCCGGGCTTTAATTAGAGCATTTACGGTATTTTATTCAGTACAAACAATTTATGATTTATTTAAATTTTAAAAATAAAAACAAACGTCTTTCACTATTTAAATCAAATCCATTTATTTTAGCCTTTGGTATTAATTTAGAAGAATTTAAAGAAATTTTTGAAAATAAATTATTTACTTAAAAATAATTATTTAAAGGTTGTCCTGTGAAATTTAAATTGTTTTGGTTTCTCCAAAATTACTTGGATCGTTTAGGATAAACTCCCCCCTTAGATCAACCTCTTTAATTACTACTAAAAACTTAAAAAAATAAATTTAATGTGTCAACACTTTCCATTTACTTCATTCAAATAAAACTTTGACAAGTACACTTATTAAAGTTTCCCCAGAAATTCCGGTCGGTTGAATTAATGAAATTTTTTGGTTTTGATTTTCCGTTTCTCTCACCCCGTTAATTCCCCGTTACTAAATTTAAACGAAAATTATTTCAAAAAATTTTGAAATATTTTTTATTTAAATATTATTTTTAAGGTTTAAATCTTTGAATAAAGTCTTCTCTTTCTTGACTTATTTGAAGCTCCTTTAAATTTTGAAATTCGAAGAGAAACTTTTATTTTCCTTAAGTTTCCGCCTTCTTGAATTTTTGGCTTCCGCGCTTAGTTTGCCAATTCTTCAGATTTTTAAAAATGCTATTGTGCCCATCCCTGCTATTTACATAATCCCCTACAACACCAAGAGAGGAAGTGGAAGGAAATGCCCTTATTTTAATTATTTAAAAACATATTTTATTTGTTTCAATTCCTCCAAAAGAAAAATTATATTTATTTTGATTTAAAGGAAAAAATAATTTTTTGTTTTCAAATTGTTGGCCTTTGTAGGGAATTGAAGGAACTGAAAATTTTAAATTTTAATTTTGTTAAAATTAATTAATTATACATTTTGGAGAAGGTAAATTATTTGTTATAGTTGAATTAACAAAAATAAAAATATTTAATAATAAAAAAAGAAGAAAATAATTAAAAAACATTTTTTTAAATTATTTTTAAATTTTATTAATAAATTTAGCTAAATTATGTCTATTTAAATAAACAATAATTTAAATAAATGTCTAGGTAAATATGTATATAATAAAAATAAACATCTTTATTTTGTAATTGCACTTTTCTCTTTGATTTTGTAAAATAAGACTGATGTAATAGAGGAATGTACTTTTCGGCTATCTTTAAATTTAAAAACAAAAATTTAAATAATTTTCAAAAACGACTCCTAGAAACTCAAAAACTTTCTAGATAATGAATTTAAAAAATAAAAATAAAAAAAAGGCGATAGATGAAACATCAAAAGGTGAAATAAATGTAATGAGAAATCTCTTCAGATCAATCAAAATAAAGCCTTGGGTCAGTCAAGTGGAAAGGATACTACCACCGTCTTCCTCCAGTTGACAGAATGCTTGTAGTCGTTGGTTCCACTATCAGGAACAGCATACATCGGGGTGAGCGGAGTTGTGGAGAGGGGGATAGTGCAAATCTAAACCTGAACTTTTATATTGAAGCATTAATCTTTGATTGTCATCGTCATTGATTCACTATAAAAGCCCTTGTCCAAAATTGAAGGTAAACTCACTTCAACTCAAGCAACACTGCAAACGTCGACTATCGCCTTCTGCACGACTTCGCTCACTCGCAATGGCGGCTTTCCCTGTGACATTGGAACCAACAACGATCAGCGTTCCGGCAGCTGGAGGCAGCATCAATCTGCTACTCACGAATACCAGCGCTGAGGTGACAGCTTTTCTTTATTTTACTTTCCTTTGATTTGTTTTTAACCGTTTCCGGCTTTTTTCAGATCCGCTACAGCTTCAAGTGCAAGTCTACGTGCAATGAGTTCTACCGAGTCAACCCTGTCTATGGGTTCGTCGAGTCCGGCACCAGCACACAAGTGGAAGTGCTTCGTCTGGTATGGAGCTTCTTTCTTTCACTTTTAAACTTCCTAAAACAACAAATTTAATTTTGCAGAATGGACCTCCGAAATCGGACGATAGGATGGAAATCTTGCTCGCGCCCGTCGACCCGGACATCAACGATCCACGTTCGTCATTCAGTGACGGGTCAGAACCAGCGCACAAGTTCGACATCCCCTTGGCTGCTGTATGAGCAACTCCAGAACGGGAAGCGAGAATGAAAGGAAACGGATGAGCAGGATGTGTAAAGATATATCGCGGAAAGGCTCTAATTCACCCATAAATCTCTCATGTGATTGTATAACCCTCGCTATATTTGTTGAATGTAACTATTGTAATTGTATATATATTGTCATGTATATATTGTCATCTTTTGTATATGTATGTGATTGTTGTATATATAAACTTGTTGTGTGAATAAACATGTAAATTGATTTGGTGGCTAGTTTAGGGAAGGATATGAAGGTTGGAGGGACTAAAGTTTTTTTAGACATGTCCCCCAATTTATCCACAAAAAATCATTAACTAATTTTTGGTCTTTTGGGTAAACGTTGTTTGGTTAGTTTATTGTTATTGTTTTTAATTTTTTCTTTCCTCCCATTGAAAATCATTTCCGGTATTTTTTCATTAAAAACACTTCTTTTTCGGATTTTCCTCAACTACAATTGTTTTTCTCTTTTCTTTGTATGTCCGTTAAGTATTTAAAAAGGGAGAAAAAAGGAAACTTTACTTGTAACAAAGAGAGAATAATCAGAATTTAATATTCTCTCGTGGATTGTGGTCACAATTGAGAGAAAATATATTTTTTTCTTTCTCCAAAAGAAATTTTACCAAATAAAAATTCAATTAAAATTTTGAAGTAGGTAAATATATCCGTTCTTTACTCAAAGATGCATAGGCCCCAAGGGTTATGCTATATCAGCCAGATTCATCTGGTAGAAGGCAAGAAAATCGAAAATTTAGGGTGAGGTTAAGATTAGGTGGAGCACTGTAGTAATGACTAGTAGGTTTGTCGGTTCTGAATCGAGCCGAAGAACCGATGATTTTTCGGTTCAATTCTGGATGTCAGAAGATTTTTCAAGAACTAAAAACAAATTAATTAGATTAAAATTATTAGATAATATTCTGATTTATCTTAAATTTAAATTAAAGGGAAATTAAATGGACTGAAAATAGATATACCTACTTAACTTACATACACATACATACATACATATTTATAAATAATTTAAAAATACAAAAATGAATTCATCTTCTAAATTATTTTCACTCATTCCCCTTTTTGTTTTAACTGAAATTTGTTTTGCTGTCAAAAACTTGACACTTTTGAGGATAGAACCTTCAAAAAGGCAAACATATGGACAAGCATTTGGAGGTTTTTAAATAAAATAAACAAAAAATTTTTCTTAACTTTAAGCTGTTGGTCCAGCTACGTGTGGACCTTTACCTGCAGGATGGTTAGAAATTTAAGATAATAATTGGATTTAAATTCTAGTTTAAATCTCGATGTTTTTCTCATTTCCTGAGATTTTTTTAAAAATTTTTTAAAAAACCAAATTTTGTTAAGTAAATCAAAACTAAAAAAATCAAAGGTCAATGTCAAGGGTCTAAGTCAAAGCCCAAGTCTAAGGCCCAAATCATTAATGACTTGGGCCAAGCCCAAGTCATTAATGATCAAAAAATTCTATTTATTAGCGCTGCAATGCCAGTAGCAGCACTTCCTCCAGCGCCAGCCGTCTCAGCACAACCAATGCCAACTGGAAGACTTATTCCACAAGTTTTAAACAAAAACTTCCTTTAATGTTTATATATTTTTGTAGGCACTCCCAGGCGCTCCATGCGAGCCAGGAGTTGAATGTACTGGAGGAAGTGTTTGTTCACAAGGAATTTGTAAAGAAAATTAAAAGAATTAAAAAAATATTTTCAAAAAATTTTGAGGTCTTTGCCCACCAGAATTAGTACAGGAAGGGACTGTTTGCGTCTCTAGAACGTAAGTATATGGTAATTATTGTTTCAACACCTCGCTGTAACGGGGTAATTAATAGTGAAGGGATAATTTTTGAGTGAGGATAGTGATTGTTTAGACTTAAATTTTTTTTTTATTTTGCGATAAACATGAATAGGGATATACTATTAGTGTGGGAAATATAGGGGGTAATTATTTAAAGTATTTATATCTAGAATCTCTCTTTTTCTATTTCAAAACCATTTTTAGTTACATAAAACTTTTTTTTATTTTAGAGATTCTATAAATATTCGAGATTTTTACTTAAAAATTATTTTAATTAGAATTTATGGTGTTGTGCCACCACCTCCTGTTGTTGCAGCTGCCCCACCACCGCCCCCACCACCAATTCCTGTGGCATTTGTAAAATTATATTTTTTTAATAATTAAAATTTGGGTTATTTTAAAGAATTTTAAAAATACTTATTAAAATATTTTAAAATAAATTTAAATTGTTTTAATATTTAATATACAAAATACAATATCACAATATTTTACAATTCTGATTTTAAGTTTCCAAATTAAAATCAGAAATACATCAAATTATTTTTTAAATTAATTTTTTCTAGTATCCACCACCGCCCCCACTTCCACCGCCAATTCCAGCACCTATTGCCCCAGCCCCAATGCCAGTACCTACAGCAGTTGTTGCCCCCTATCCAGTAGCAGCCGCAGCAATTCCATCTCCATGTATTCCTCCATATGGCCGTTTTCGTGCTGCTTGTGTTAGAAGTGCTGATAGAAAACAAAAAATAAATAAAAATTAAAAAGGTGGGCACCTCCCTTTAAAAATTTAGAATTTCTTAAAATAAAAAGGGAGGTGTCCAAAAATGTCTAAAAATAATAAAAAATTAAGGAGAACAACAAATACAAAATGAAGGAGGAATTTTATATAATTTGGATGATGATGGATCTAATTCTATTGAAAGAGAGGTTGAATGGAGAAAATAAAAATAAATTTATATTTAAATAGGAATATTGTAAAAATTTAATTTTTTTCCTTAATAAAAAAATAATTAATTTATGAATTTTTTGAGTTATAACTAATTTAAAAGTATTTTAAAAAATATTCGAATATTGAGAAATTTCTTTCTATTAATTAGAATTAATAAGGCATCAACAATAGTTCAGAGAATCGGGATTTCAATCATTTTTGGATTTTGGAGAACTCATTTCAATATTATTTAGATGAGTTGAACTTAAATTACTCCCACAATAGATCAGTGTCAAGCGTTTTGTTCCGTGCATTTTATTCTCAATGTGGGAGGGGCGCTTGAACACTCGACAAAACGCTTGACACGGATGTCATTTTGGGAGTAGCCTTATATTTTTCAAATTATTTTTTAAAATTTTCGAAAAATTTTTTAGTTACCATATACTCTGTATTGTCTACTCTGAATCGTCCCTATTTTGTCCGGTTAAGGACGATTCAGTATCGCCGATTCAGTATATGGCCATAACTTTACTGATATTCGAACGATTTGAATAATTTTCATTTCATTCGAAAGGTCACGAGATTCGACATCTTTTTCATAATTGGCCAGATCTGTTTCGATCCATTTCCGGCCTAAGTCTTGAGTCCACAAAATTCCTTTCTTAGAAAGCTCTATAAAGCCCCTTTAAAAATATTTTTAGGTTTCATTCCTCGATGCTGAAAGCATTCAAATCCCATCTAAAACAATTAACATCATGTCTCGGCATTTTTAAATGTTGTTCCAAATCAAATAATTCTATCCAACCACAACCTGAATTTGCTATAAATTCAATTATGCCATTTCCACTAAATGACCCAACAAAAACTAATAGAGTAAATAATTATAAATCGACCAAAGCTTTATTGACTGGACAAAAATTAATTATTGGGAGAGAAGAGGAACAACGAGTTTATTTTAATGAATTGCGTAAAAGTTGGGATGTGCCACCCTGTGAAATGAAAAAGAAATATATTAAATATTAATTGTATGTATTAAATATTATTATTAGGGTTGGACGTAAATGTTAATTAATTAATGATTAAAATTATTAAATGTTAATTAATTTATTTATTTGATTTAAAAGCTATTTTAATTATTATTTTAAATTTTTAAATAACCGATTTTTTATGCCTGTGACGTCGTTTATCAGTGATAACTTTTTGTAGAGTGATCAGATCAGGTCAGTCCAATTATGAAAAAGATGCAGCACCCCGAGACCTATCAAATCATATATAATAATTCCTACAATATTGATCGAGCAAAAAGTTATGGCCGAAAAGCCCAAATACTGAATCGGCGATACTGTATTGTCTACTCTGAATCGTCCCTATTTTGTCAACGTTAGTTTAAGTCGTTTTGAAAAATTGTTCTTTTGTTTGGGAAGCTTATTTTTTTGTTTACTTTCCCAAAAAAGATTAATTGGGTCATTTCTTATCATTTTTAACTCATTTACCTGTTATAAATGAACTAATAATTTTATTTTGATATTCTTCATTTTTTTAAATTTTTATCAGAAATGGCCCGCAAAAATGCAAAGAAAAAATTAAAAGAAATAAATGTGGGCAACAGAAAAACAGAAAAAATTGAGAATGATTTGAAATCGATTGGTGGGAAAACGACAAATAATTCGAGAGAAGTTAATGGTTCAGTTAATAAACCCTCAACGTTTGTTTTTATTTTAATTTTCAATTAAGGATTTTTAAATTGCCCGTTGGAATTTTGACTGACTGAGAAGCCAGGGCAGTTATTTTAGTTATTCTTGGCTTTATAATTCTTCTGAATCTTTAAGGATTATTTTTCATTTTTTCGAAAATATTTTTGTCATTTTTTAAATAAATTACCTAAAATTATTAAAACATTCCTCAAGTTTCCTCAATTTTTAGAGCCAAAAAAATCACAGAAAAAGACAAAAAACAAACTCAAAACGCCAAAAATCACCAAGCAAATGGTACTTGTATTGTAAATGGGGGTCTACACACTTCTCCAAGTATGGCAAATTTAATTGAAAGGCAAAATATTGTTTTGTGGAAGCGTCCTTTTCGAACTATGCAATATTTTATATTGGAGCTTATTTCAATTATTTGGTCATTTTTTAAAAGGTTTTTTTATTTTATTTTTATTAGGTGTTTTTGTTTTTTATCCCTTCGATTAATTGTAAGTATAGGGTTGCCGGTTTTTTAACCAAACCGGCTCGGCTTAGTTCGAAAGATCGAATCGGGCTTTGAATTTTGGCCCGAAAAAGACTCGAGCGGCCCGGATCTATAAAAATGAAGCACAAAAAATGACTCGAACGTCGGCCCGGTTTGAAAACGGCAGCCCTAGTTATATACTATATTTTGGTGTAGTTGGTTAGGTATGGGTTTTTGGGCCCTATCTGAAAATAATGCGGCAATCAAATTTTTTCCTTATTCTTAAAAATGGTTAATTTTCTTATATTTTTCTCTCTATTTTTGATTTGTGCCTTAAGACTTCAAACGCAAAAGGATTATTTTTCTTTACTTTTGTGAGCATTTACTTTTTTCTGTCCGTGTTTTTAATGACCAAGTGTTTTGTCTGTCCGAGTTCGTCCGTGTTTTGACAAAACACGGACGAACTAGGACAGACAGACAAAACACGGACGTCCGTGTTTTGTCAAAACACGGACGAACTCGGACAGACAGACAAAACACGGACTTCCGTGTTTTGTCAAAACACGGACGAACTCGGACAGACAGACAAAACACGGACTTCCGTGTTTTGTCAAAACACGGACGAACTCGGACAGACAGACAAAACACGCACACACATCGGTCAGTCAAAACACGGACGGACACAGACAGACAAACCACGGACTAACTCGGACAGACAAGCAAAACAAAATAGGGAAAATACACCTTTTCGCGTGTATTTTTCCTACGGCATGAATCAAATATAGAGAGAATTAAATGAGAAATTGACCATTATGGGGAGTAAGAAAAAATTTGATTGCCGCATTATTTTCATATACGGCCGGTTTTTGATTCTGTTAGTGTTGTGTTCTGTGTTTGACAATTTTCTTTATCTTGTACTCATTATTATTTTTAATTTTTAATTTCTTTTATTTTTTTTTCAGTCTTCTCTGCATAAAACGACTTGTTCCAGCTATTTTATTGCCTTCATTAATTGCTTTTTTGTATATGGTGCCCGGTTATCACACTCAATTTGTACATTTATTTGAAAAAAAGTTGTTGTGGTGTCTATATTGGCTTGGTTTGGGTGTTCTTTCTTCTGTTGGATTAGGGACTGGTCTTCACACATTCCTCCTTTATTTGGTTTTTATTTTTCTTTTTATTTAATTTTTAATATTTTTAGGGACCTCATATTGCTCGTGTGACTTTGGCTGCTTTTGAGTGCAATTCTCTTGACTTTCCAGAACCGCCCTATCCAGAGGAGTTTGTATTTTTTAAATTAAAGTTTTATTTTTAAACATTTAAGTGTAACTTGTCCAACTTCACAAGGATCAATGGTCTCGGCAATTTCTCTTTGGGCAATTATTAGCAAGGTAGCGGTTTAAATTTTTAAGGAAAAGTGTGTTTTGTTTATCCCGAATCTGGATTAAGCGATTTAATCATAAAACGTAACGAAAGATTTAATTCCCCTGAAAATGTTTAATATTCTTTTCTAAATGGGAGTCTCCTAAAAATCGACAAAAATTATACTTTCCCCATCGACTCTATCAAGAAGACCAAAAGTCCTTTTTTAATTATATTTTGTTCTTATTTACCAAATTTTTAAAGGTTCGATTAGAATCGCTAATGTGGGGAGCAGGCACAGCATTAGGTGAATTACCCCCTTATTTTATGGCTAGAGCTGCACGTCTTTCGGGTGAACAACCAACAGATGATGAAGATTATAAAGAATTTCTTTCTATTGTGGAAGAGGGTGATTCTAACAAAAACATGGTAATTAATTAATTTACACATAATAACTCTACCAATAAGGTTTTAAAAGTCATTTTTCTCACAATTTTTACCTTTTCCCTATTTCAAGGGGGGTTTTAGCCCAAGATGCTCCCCTGGCTACGCTATTGCAAACTGGTGTGAGTTTTTCTTGAAACTTTCGGACCTACGTTTCTTTTTGTAGACATTTTAAGATTTTGAGTCTTTTACAATTCCGAAGAATCTGGGGTCACTATGAATTTTACAAAAAAATTATTTAAAAATTCAATTTTTAAGTCATTAATGAACAAAACAAAGCTTTGGATGGAACGGGTAGTTACTAGAGTTGGCTTTCCTGGAATTTTGTTATTTGCATCTATTCCAAATCCTTTCTTTGATTTGGCTGGAATTACTTGTGGACATTTTCTCATTCCTTTTTGGACATTTTTTGGTGCAACTCTTATTGGGAAAGCTTTGGTTAAAATGCATGTACAGGTTTGTATTTATTTTTTAATTAGTGTAGTGATTAATTTTTGTAAATGGTTTTTGTCTTGGTTAACTAAAAAAGTGATATAGAAAATTTTATTCCTTGAAAAGCATTCTGATTTTTGAGGAATGTTGAGAAAATTTCGAGGTTGCTAGTTGATTATATTTTTGAGCCGCTTTTTTTTTTAATTCGCTGCTTGACCAAACAAATAGGAAAAATTTGAGAATTACGCGAAAAAATGAAAATTAAACGTTCTGACTTATGATTATACCCACTCACCCTTACTTTTAATTAGGAATTATTTTAATATTTTTTGTCTTATTTTTTTAATTTTTTAGATGCTTTTTGTTGTTCTAACATTCTCAGAACATCATGTTGAACATTTAGTTAGCCAATTGAAAAATATTCCACATATTGGCGCTTTTATCCACACTCCATTGAGGGAATTTCTTTTGGCACAGAAATTGAGATTACACAGAAAACCTGGAGATCCAATTCCTATCCAAGCTTCGAGTTTATTACAACAAGGTTTTTTATTTTGAATAATTTTAAAAAATATATATTTTTTAGTTATGTCCTATATTGTCTCTGCAATGGTTTGGAATTTTTAAAAATTTTTAGAATAATTTTAAATTGGGTTAAAAAAATCAGAAGGGACTAATAAAACCTTGATTTTTCATTAGGATAAAATTACTGATTGACATTAGGATTTTTTGGGATCCATGTCCTTCCCATAATCATTTTTTTAACCTTTTGGGATTTATTTTGGGTAATCATGTCCCTCAAAAATTTTTAGTCACGTTTCTCATGAGAGACCTCGGACACGATTTTACCGACCATTAGTTAAGACTGGTTTTCTTTATTTATTTTTCCTCAAAGGTTCTTTTTGAAATTTTTCCGATTTAAAATCTTTGTTTAATCATTAGTAAAAAACTTTCAAAAAAAATATTTTTTTTTGTTAAGATTCTTTGGTTTATCCTTTCTTTGGTCAATTCATTAGCACAACGTTATCATAAAAGACTTTTCGATTCTGACAAAAAGTTTGTACAACAAACCAAAAAAATTAAATAGAAAAACGACAAAAAATTTGGGGAAAAGGAAAAATAAGTTTGTGATTTTAATTTGACTTTATTTTTAAATTTATTATTTAATTGTATTTTGATTATAATACATTAATTGCTCCACAAAATATTAAAAATACTTTCAATAGTAAAAATTTTGTATGGTCTGTTATAAGAATAATTCACCTAGTAGCATTTAAAATGCCTAGGCGGGTGTTAAACGATCAAAAGGATAAAAGAGAAAGCATTAGTCAATGCCTCGTAGTTCAGTGATCCTGTATATGGTGGGCGAAAGCGCCTAGCAATAATTATAAGAGAAGGTTGTTAGTTCGAATCCTGTCCGGTGGCTAAGCTTTTGCTAGACACTTTCTCTATGATTTGCCACGTCTAAATGTTATTTTCAATTTTGTATATTTGAGTGAATTGGGTTCCTTAAAACATTTATTTTTAGATCCAAGTGATTTATGAGGAAGTCCCCCCATTGTTATAGACTGTATCTAAAAACAAATTCATTTTCTAATTTTTTTGTTATATTTTAAGTGAATATTGTAATGTATTTTTTTGTTCCTTAAAACATTAGTAAAAAGTAATTCGTCATTAAAACACTTCAAATTTATAATAATCAAAAAAAAAATTATTTTAAAAATAGGCAATCCTCTCCTTTTGTTTAAACAAAAGAATTCTAAGGGGAAGGGTCACGAGTGCCGCAATTCTTGGCATTAATTTGTTTTTTTTCTTTTATTTTTTAAAAAGAGTACCGTAAAATGAACAAATAATTTTAAAGAGGATTTATTATTATTTCCATTTTTCTGCCACTTTTTGCCTGGAAAAAATTTTTATTTGAAGAATTTTTCTTTTAGTTTTCGTCATTTTCCGTCATTTTTTGGGTTTGTTCTAATCTTTTTTGAGAAAAATATTTTTTGATTGAACGGGTTTTAAGAAGAATTATTTTATAGTTATTTTTTTAAATTTTAAGTCTTTAAGAGAAATACAGTCATGGAAGAAAGATAGGGACAAGGGTAAGTAAAATGGGAATTGCCTATTTTCTCAGTTAAAAATTAATTTTACAAAAATTTTTTTGCGTGATTAGATACTCCCTTTAATTCTTTATTTAATGAGTACAAGGTTTGTAGGAGTAGATCCAAAGTCAAGATCATGGCATTTTTCAGCATTCTGGTTTCAGATCTCTATTACCGACCAACACTTAACATACTATTATTTACTTTTTTTCTCTGTTGGTTTTTCTGTTCTTTCCTCCGGTCTGGAAAATTCCGGAAGAAATAAAAAATAATGGTAAAACAATCTGTTTTCGTCTTTTTAATTTATCGAAAATATTTTCCGGGAAGAGTGAGAGAGAGAGTGCAATAATCTACATAGTACCTTTAAATAAAAGCCAAAATCCGGAACAGACAAATTATAATTTAAAGAATTTTAAATTTTAATCAATTTTTATCAAAAAAAATTCTTTGATTATTTATTTGTTGTAAAATATTTTTTTGTTGTTTACTAGAATTATGCAATAATCAACAAACACAAATTAGGTATTCCCCCTTTTCTCTCATAAAAACATTTATCAACAAAACTTTGTGGGGTTCTCTCATTTCTTTTGAAAAGGAATTTTTACAAATAAATTAATTGACTAAATTGGAGAAAAAATTTTTTTAATAAAGGTTAACGACAATTTTTTGTTTCGGCGTCGGATTTTTTAGGAAAATTTTTTTAGCGTTCACTCCTAATAAAAAATATTTTTTTATTTAAGAAAATTTCTTTTAAAAATCCATTTTATACAAAATTAATAACTAAAGAAATGGAGGATTCCAAAAATCAACAACAACAAGAAACAACAAAAATTGAACAAAAACTACAAAATGGACCTTTCTTTACTGAAAAAATGGAAAATAAAAATTTATTTGCTACGGGTAAAATTAAAAAAAATCCTTAAAGAAAACGATATTTTCAAAGATTTATTTCCCCACAATCCTCGTGGATGGGAAGAAACTTCTAAATTTTTAAAATCAATTGTTGAATTACTTTTGGGGTATATTAAAGAAGAAAATGATAGATCTACTAAAGGTAAATTAATAAATATTTTATTTTTCAAAATTGAGAAATAGGTACATAAGTAAATTAATACAAAGTCTTGTATGTATCCTAGAGGTCGGTAAAGTCGTATTTGCGGGATCCCGCGTGCGGTATTTTTTCTCAAAATCTTTGCGGGACGGGGTCCTGCGGGATAAATCCCGCAAATCGAAAAAATGTGGGATTGCGGGACGGGATCCCGCAAAATCCCGTCCCGCACCGACCTCTAATGTATCCTCTACTGAATTAATGATCGGTTAAATAAAATTATTTGAAAAATTTTTATTTTTGTTTGATCCGATCTCTATTAATTAAGATAAGAAGACTAAAAAATAATGATAGGGGTTATTATATCTGGACCTGCATGCCACAATTATTGATAATTTTATCAATTAATTTTTTTCAATGATTTTAAGTAGAAAAATAAATTTCCATTTTTTTAATTTAAATTTTTGCAGTTCTTGAATTCCATCAACCTGAAGAAATGGCTAAACTTATTGATTTAAATATTCCTGAAGATCCAATGTCGCTAAATGAATTAATTAAGGTGTTTTTAATTAAAAGGAGGGGAGAAGAGTGTTTACAAATTTTTTAGTCTCACATTTAGGGGGAATACCTGGAAACTTTTTTAATCAAAGGATTTTTAGCACTATTTATTGTCTAAAATACCACACACATTTTATAAAATTTTATTTTTTTCAGTCTTGTAGTGAAGTTCTACGTCTCGGTGTCCGTACAGGACATCCACATTTCTTTAATCAATTATCCCAAGGATTGGATTTAATAGCAATGGCCGGGGAATGGTTAACTGCTACTTGCAATACAAATATGTTTACTTATGAAATTTGTCTGTATTTGGAGAATTTTTTTTGAAAAAATTTTTTTTCAGCGCCTGTTTTCATTTTAATGGAGAAAGAGGTAAATAAAAGAAAAATGAATTTAAAAAAATTCAAAAATCGTTTTTCGAAGTATTTTACTATTTTTTATTTGTCCGACAACAAGAAGATAAAGGATAGTAAAATAGATAAGAGGAGGACTAAGATGGGGGGATCGTCAAAATATAGAGCAATCTCGGACGAATCTGGGACGCCTTGGTATAGTTCGATGCATCCCGACGAGCTGAATCGAACCATATCAAGACGTCCCGGATTCGACGATTTTTGAACGAAGTTATATCTCTGCGGTACTCTGCGGTGTCAAAACTATACTAGTATTTTAATTACTCGGTAACCCAACCAAAAATTCATTAAATTTAATTAAATTATAATTTAATTTAAAATAAAAGGTAACTAAAAGAATGATTGAATTAATTGGTTGGCCGACTGGAGATGCTATATTTTCACCAGGCAATTTAAAAATAAAGTTTTGATAAATTTATTTTATATAGGTGGTGCAATTGCTAATTTGTATGCAGTGAATGCTGCTAGGTAAGTAATAATAACATAATCAAAACTGTAGGAGATACAGTTTAATTTGCCCATTCTAAACAAATTCCCCATATTAGGGAAGGGTTGATCTTTCACCCCCAAATTTTTCCGCAAAATACCCCTACCCCCAAATTCCCTACTATTCACTCTGATTTTAAAACTCGAATAATTCCTCTCCTTCGAATAATTCCCCCATCCCACATATGTGTTGGAATATTAATTAGGGTAATTAATAGATAAAATACGGTATATTAAAATTTACCCATTTCGTCACAATCGTTAAACTCATTTTAATAATTAAAAAAATCCTTTCCCTTAATTTTTTAGACATGCAGTTTTCCCTCGTGCAAAACATTTAGGGATGGTGTCAATTCCCCCACTTTGTTGTTTTACTTCTGAAGAGGTTTTTAAATAATGAATTTTTTCTATTTTTTCCCTCTAATTTAGAGTCATTATTCAATAAAAAGTGCTGCAGCAGTTTTAGGTATTGGGGCAGACAATTGGTTAGAGAAGAGAATTTAAATAAATTAATGTTAAAATTAATTAAAAAAAAACAGTTTTAATATTCCAACGGATGCCTCAGGCAGAATGCTTCCTAGGGCGTTGGAAGAACAAATAATTAAAAGTAAAGAAGAGGTAAGTAATTGAGGGATTTAAAAAATTTAACTGAACAATAAGTAGAAAAAATATTAAAAAGTTAAATTTATCTCTGCGGTCTCTTATGTAAACGTGTAGTGTTATACACTCTCTAACTCTGTGTCTAACCAGAATTCGGAAGAATCTGTTTCTGAAATACAGAAAACATTACAACAATGTTGTTTCTGTTTCTCACTTATAACTCATTAAATGTTTTCCGGAAATTTCCGGATTCCGAGTTAGAGAAAAAGAGAGAGTACTGTTATTTAAGAGAGCATAAAAGATAATCTTATCTGCCCCGTCTTTTATCTGTCCAGTTACTAAGAAAGCTTTTTAACAAAAAATTTTCAAAGGGTCTCTATCCTTTCTTTGTTTGTGCAACAGCAGGTAAACATAAATTCTTTTTAAAAAATATTTTTTTATTTTAATTTTAAAGGAACAACAGTTTATGGTGCTTGGGATCCAATAGAAGAGATTTCTGAAATTTGTGAAAGACACAATCTTTGGTTACATGTTGATGTAGGGAAAGATTTTGACTAGATAAATAAAAATATTTAAAAAATTTTTTGAAGGCAGCTTGGGGTGGTGGAATTTTGTTAAGTCCAGAATACCGACACAAATTGGCGGGAATTGAACGTGCAAAGTCTGTTACTTGGAATCCACACAAATTAATGGGGTCTTTACTTCAATGTTCTGCTTGTTTTGTAAGACAAGAGGTGAAAATAAAAAATATGTTGATTTTTTAAAGAAATTGGGGGTTATCCAAAACATGTAAATGGATATTTTGTGCCTTGAAAATGGAACTAGGGCTGGCGGATTCAGATATTCTGGGATTTCCCAGGATCCGCCCATCTTAGTCAGAACACAATCATGGCTAACATTTTGCCCAAAAAATTAATTTAAAAATTAATTTTCAAGGGTTTACTCTTCCAAGTCAACCAAATGTCTGCGGATTACCTTTTCCAACAAGACAAACCCTATGATGTAAGTTATGATACTGGAGATAAAGCAATTCAATGTGGTCGACATAATGATATATTTAAGGTTAGAAATGGGAAAAAATACTTTGAAAAAATTTTGTTTTTCAAGCTGTGGTTAATGTGGCGTTCAAAAGGAATGGTAATTAAAAATAATTAATCAAAAATATTAAATTTGGGTATTCAATCTCCCCTTAAAAATATTCGATCTAACAGATAATCGACTAGATGGAAGTTAAGTGAAACAGGAGGGTAGGGGGGAAATCACAAAAATTTTTAAATTTTTTGCACACTTTTCACAAATTTTAAATTTCCTTGCAAACAGGCAGAAAAGAAAATTATCAAGATAAAAGGGAAATAAATAAAAATATAAAAACTTTAAAATTTTTTCTCTAGGAAGGCTATCGTCGTCAAATTAATCGTCTTATGGTATTCAAAATTATTTAATTAAAATTTTAATTTAAAAAAATAAGGATATGGCCAAATACTTTACTGAAAGAATTAAGGCAACTGAAGGATTTGAAATGGTTGTAGATGAAGTGAGTTGTTTAGTTGGAAAATAAATATTTTAACTTTTTTTTTAATTTTAGCCAGAATTTTTGAATATATGTTTTTGGTAAGATTTTATTTAAAAAACCCTTCTAATCTCTATCTTATCCCATCTTTTTGTAAATTTACCTACCTCTTAGTTATCCCTTGGTGAGGTAATTAGAAGATTGGGAGATGTGTGAGATAGTTTAAAGTAGGGTAGCTCCCCGAGCCTTCGGGGTCGGAAGTGTTGGGGATCGGGGTTTCCGGGGAGGGCATGTCGGGGTTGACTTTTGGTTCGGGTGCGGGTGTCGGGGTAGAGCCTTCGGGCCGGGTCGGGATTTTTTCTAAAAAAATCGTCGGGTTACGAGACGGGGAGACCCTAGTTTAAAGAGTATATAGTAGAGTTAGTCACGGTACCGTATTACCGCGGTATTTTTCGGTAATACCGCGGTATTTTTACCGAAATACCGATACCGAATACGGTACCGAACAATTTTTAAAAAATCGGTATTTTTTCGGTATCGGTATTTTACCGAAAAATCGCGTTTGCCTAACACTAGTATATAGGGATACCTCAAAGTTTGGAACAATTTTGAGATGAAATAAGTAAAAGATTGGGATAATATAGTGTTTTTTTTCTCAAGAAAATGTTTTTTGAGGTATGTCCCAAAAAGTATTCGAAGTGTTGATTTGAGAGAAAAGATGAGCCGTTTAGAAAAAATTGCCCCAAAAATAAAAGCGCTAATGATGAAAAGAGGGACGACAATGGTGATTTTTGTTAAGAAAAATAAAAAATAAAATTAATTTTTAAAGGTTGGATATCAACCAGATGAACATAAAAAACGTCCAAATTTTTTCCGAATGGTTATTTCGAATTCTAATGTTCAGGTATTTGAGGATGTTTTTAGAAAAAATAAAAAAATTATTTAGAAGGTTGATTTGGACTTTATAATTGATGAAATAGTTAATTTGGGGTATGATTTGTGAATGAAAGAAAAGAAGAGAAAAAATTGGGGGAAGAAAATCAAAAGAAAAGACATGAAAAAACATAAAAATAACAAAATACTGATAATTTACCAGCTTTATAATTTTTTAAAAAGTAAAAGGGAATTAATTATTTTTACTCAGATTGGGTATTTTTGTTCGCGAATATTTGGAAAAAATGAGCGAATATGTGGACTTTTCAGGAGAACATTTCAAAAAAGCTTGCGATTATGTGGCCCTTTCCGTTAATAATTGACCATTTATTCGCAGTCAAATAAAATAGAATTTACCGTATTTCTTCTAAGAGTGCGACTTTCTCTATTAGACCTACCCCTTCTAATAAACCGACCCTTTAGAGGATAGTTGAAAAATAAACCGATCGGTCGCCCTATTAGAATAAATACGGTAATTGAATTTTGAACCTTAAAAACAAAATTAGTAAATCTTTTAGCTTTATTTTTACAAAGAAATCACGTTTTTTAATTTAATCACAAATATATTTACTTTTGATCGATACACATTTCTTTCTCACTAAATTATCATTGTTTTTAATTTAATTTTTTTTATTTTTTAATTTAATCGAAGCTATTTATTTTATTCTCCAACAAAAATTTTTTTTCTAATTTTTATTTAAAAAACAATGAATCTTCGTCCGAGAGCCGTTAATTTCGACGATGTTTGGTCAAAATTGAAAGAAACTGCTGAAGCTATAATTTCTTTAAAGCCAATTGAACGGTTAACTTGGGATCACAATTTTAGGTTTTTAAAGAGAAAGAGTTTCTTTAAAAATAATTTTTATTTTATTTTAGTGACATTTACTTTGTTTGTGTGTCTGTTCCAGAAACACAATCTAGACAACTTTATGCTGCTGTTAGGGACTGCTTGGAAATTCATACAAAAGAATTGCGTCGGGTAGGGAAGTTTTCGAGTTTTTTTTGAATTTTTTTAAAATTTATTTTTGCGGACAATATTTGCGGATGTCCGCAAATAAATAATTCAGGGGCGTAGCTAGGCGGTAGATTTCAGGTGGGCTAAAATTAGATGTGCGCAAAAATTTTGGCGTTTACTGTGGCGAAAAAATTCACTTTTTTGCCCAATCCCCTCCTCAACTTTTTTCCTTTTCCCCATTTCGGGGGGGGGGGACTTTAGTTCCAGAAGCCCCCCCCCCTGGCGACGCCCTTAAATACATATATAAAATCCTAAAAAGATCCTTTAATTTTCCAGTCTTTGGAAGATCAAACTGGTGATAATCTTTTGAGTGCCTACAACCGAGAATGGAGCAAATACAAACAGGGAGCGGGTTATTTACACAACCTCTATTGGTTTGGTTTCTAATTAAAGTATTTGTTATGTATATTTTTAACAGTTATTTAAATAAACAATTGGCCAAAGAGAAAATGGATGCAGAATCTCAACATACTTTTATTGCTGATGATTCCGAAGGGCCTTTTCCACATTTGGGTGTTGGAGACGTAATGTTATTTTAATTTTCTTTTTTATAAAGGCATTTCTTCTTCCTAAAGTTTTTTAAAATTAATTTTTGGATAGGGAATTAAAGGCTCATAACTTGAAACTAAAACTTTTATAAAAGTTTCAAGGGATTAGCCAGGGGTCGATTCCTGGGTGGGGACTAACATGGGGTGTGCGCCAAAATTTTGGCGTTTTCTTTGGCGTTCCGAGCACAAATTGTCTGGATCTAATATTTTCCTGTTCATGTTCAATATTATCATAAGTGTCTGTGGGCAAGGTCCTGTATTTAAAAACTAAAAAGATTTTTTCTAATTAAATAAAGAACAATTTTTTCTAGTTAGCATTCGCAATTTGGAAAAGAGAATTAATTATTCCACTAGCTTCAAAACTTGTTAAACACATTATTGGATTAATTCAACAAATTAGAAAATTGGAAGGAACTTATTCTGCAATTAATTTGGCTGATATTAGAGGGGCTATACTTTCTTTTGTTGAGGTTAAATTTTTTAGAGAAAATTGTTATTTTTGATTGAGAGTACTACAAACAAATATTTTTTTCAACTTTTAAGGTAAATGAATTATTTTTGAATGAATCCTTTTTGGGACAACAAAAATCGCCTTTTACTTTGGCTGGAGGAAATTCTGTCACTGAGGTTATATTTACCAATTAAGTTTTTGTAAAAATATTTCTTTTTAAGTTTTATGAGGAAATGTTCGAAAAACATTTTCTGGAAGCAACAGAAAATTTTTATAAAAGTTTGACAAGTGAAGCTTTTGTTTGTTTAGATTGTTGTCCTTATATGGAGGCGGTAATATATTTAATTAATTTTCTTTTAATTTAGGGTAGCTGGCCGAGCCTTCGGGGTCTGAAGGATCGGGGTTTACCGGGAAGGGCATGTCGGGGTCGGGAAGCTACCCTATTTTAATTTTTTGTGGTTAAAAAATTGGGTTTCAGATTACCAAAATATTTATTTTAGCTTTGTAAAATCAAATATATCAAGTTACCCTCGAAAAATTAAATTTTTTTGGTCGGGATTTTAAACGAAAATGTTTATTAAATGACAAATTGTTTGACTGTTTTTTTAACTATTGACTTTAAAAATTGCAAAATAATTTTATCAAATTATTTTCTTTTAATTTTTTCAAGGTAATAAAAACTCTAGACGAAGAACGAATTCTTGCCCAACGATTTTTACATCACAGCACACTCCCAAAAATTGAAAATTTATGTTATGAAGTTTTGGTTAATGAACAATTGGAAAAAATAAGTTTAATGTGTAAAGATGTTGTTCAAGGGGAATTATTGAAAGGTTTTTTTTGGATTTTTTGAAATTTTTAATTTCTGTTTAGATTTAAAAAATATGTATATTTTATTTAAACCTTTAAACAATGCTTTGCCTATTTTATTAAAAGAATTTGAAAATTATATTAAAAAATTGGGAATGGAATTTAATGTTTCACCTACTGTTGATCCTGCACAATTTGTTGGAAATATTACAGGTTTTTTAAGGAAATTTTTTATATTGAAGAATGGTGGAGAAATCTGATTTTATTTTGTAACATTTTCTATAAAATTATTATGTCCAAACCAGAGGTGGGTCGGAATTCCGATTTCCGAAAAAAATTTTGATTTCTGAGTTACGACTTTTGAGCCAGTTACGATTTCCGACTCTTCCGATTGCCGGCACCTCTGACTGTTCCGACCTACTTCTGGTCCAAACGGAGGTGAAAACTAAAACATTTCTTAAATAAATTAATTCTAACATTTTTCTGTTAATTTTGGTATTAGTTATGGTTTGGGCTCCTGGAAAAAGGAATGGTAGGAGAAAATTCCAAGCCTACCTGAAAATTAATTTGTTGTCTGCAGATAAATAAAATATAATTTTCCTCGTCTTCACATAAATTTAAAATAATTTTTAAATTTTCCACAGATTTGCACACAAAATTCACTCAAATGGTTATTGAAATATTTTCTGGCGATGGAGAATTTACAATTTCCTTGGATAGAGCAATTCAATCAATTGTTAATTATAGAGAAGATCCAAAACAGCCTCCAAAAATTTCTGAAAAATTAAATCGTTATATTGATATTTTAATGAAAACGAGAAAAGGAAGGACAGAAACGGAAATTGAGGCTCAATTATCTAAATCAATTCTTATATTTCGTTATATTGATGATAAGGTTTTTTAGAATAATTTTTAAAAACTATAAAAGTTGGATAGTTTGGGGACGAGCGTATCGTTAATTTTACTAATAAACAAAAAAGAATTTTGACCTCATCCGATTTCTATTGATTTAACTCTGCCTGAGAAAATCGGGATTTACCAGTTTCCGTATTTTCTCGATTAATTCCACTGGGGAATTATTTCTTCAACCCTTTTTTGGCATGGGGAATTAATCGAGGGAGGGGAATTATTCGAATTTTGCCATTTGAACGTGCAATAGTGTATTTGGGGGTGGGGAATTATAATATTATTTCAACACAACTCTAGCATGGGGAATTAATCGAGAAAATATATATATACATTTTTAGGATTTATTCCAAAAATATTATTCAAAAATGCTTTGTACTCGTTTAATTGCAAGTTTATCATTTTCAATGGATTTGGAAGAATCGATGATTAATAAAATGAAAGATGCTTGTGGTTATGAATTTACAAGTAAATTATCTCGAATGTTTACGGATGTAAATGTCAGTCAAGGACTTACTAAACGATTTTTGGAGGTTATTCAATTTTTTGAGGTGCCTTTAATAAGGGTGCCTTTATTTAAAGGTTAGGGTTAATTTGGGGTCTGAATTTTTTAAAGTCCCTAACTCCTAAAGAATGTGTGGATGTCCGTAAAAGTATTTGGGTGGAAAATACATGGGTTCATAATTTATTTGAGTCATAAAGATAATCTCATCTTTAAAAAATTCTGGTTTGATATCACGCGATATACATTTCAGAGATTAACACATTAAAGGTTTACATTGTTATCCTTGCAGATTTTTAATTTTTTTAATTTAAATTCAAAAAGAAAATTTAAGGAAATGGTCAAAAATAATAAAAAACTGGAGGTATCAATTTCTGTAATGGTTTTACAAGCAGGTGCTTGGCCTCTAACTGCCCCTCAAAATGCTTCTGAACCATCTTCCTCTCAAAACCAAAGTGAACAAAATGGAGATTATGCTCCCCCAATAATTTTGCAAAAATCGTTACGTTTGTTTGAGGAATTTTATGGAACTAGCCATTCTGGAAGAAAATTAACTTGGTTATATGCTAACTCTACAGGTTATTTTTTAAATTGTTAATCATGGTAAAATGGTTGAGAATGGGAATTGTCGTAGATAGCTTTGTTTTTATGAGAGTTGGAAATAGTTCTATTCAGTTCATGAATAGGATGTCATGAACTACCTAGTAATTTTTTGATTTTTGGAACTAGGACTAGACGGGACTCTTGATGAAAATGATTAAAAAATAAACTGTTCTTTTTCCTAATAAATTTTCACTTTTTTTTGATTATTTCTAACCTCATTTTAAAAATAGCTGATGTTCAAATGAATTATTTGGATCGTAAATACCAAGGTTTTTTAAACCCTAAAAAATATTTTTAATTTATTTTTATTTTTTAGCAACAATGAGTGTCCACCAAGTTTATTTTTTGTTTTGTTTTTAGTTCAGAAAATTTTTCTAGTTATCTATTTTGCTACAATATTCGAATCAAGATGTCTTTCAACTTGGCAACTTTGTCCCCTTAACTGCTCTTTCTCTTCCAACAATTATTAGGGCAGCTAAAGCGCTTGTAGAAACTGGATTTTTAATTTCTAACGAAGTAAGGATTTTTTGATAATTGAAATTATTTTAATTTTTTGGGTTTTTTTTTGGTAATATTTGATTCAGATTTTGGTTTATGATAATACAAACTCATTATTTTTCAAGTCCGTCCAAAATTTTGGCGTTTACCTTGACCACTCTGGCTACGCCCTTGAAAACCCCATAGACAAAATTACATATTTTGACAGAACAATAAAGTTTTTGTGAATAAAAAGCATGTCTTTGGAAATAAAATCGAATTTTTAAGGGGGTAAAAATTGAATTTTTTTCCAATTTATGAAATTAAATTTTCTTTAAGAAAGATTTAACAGAACTTTCTGTTTTAACACTCAATACTTCATTTAATTCTAAACGAATTAATGTCAAAGTAGCACTTCCTCAATCAAGTAAGCCACAAGAAAAGGAAGCTGAAGCAACATGTAATACATTAATGCAAGACAGAAAATATTATATGGAATGTACTATTGGTATTTAAATTTAATTAATTAAAAATATTTTTTTTTGTAGTAAGAATTATGAAAGCAAGAAAAGTAATGAAACATAATTTGTTAGTTGAGGAGGTTTGTATATTTTGTTAAATTAAAAAATAAGGTCTCATATAATGTTACCACCTCCAAGTGGCAAAATTTTTCTCTGATTGTGAGCTTTGATTATTCAAAAATCCCTAAATCTGCGCAGAAAAACTGAACTCCGGTTTATTGCAATTTTGATTAAAAAATCTTTTATTCTCCGTAATTCTCATAAAATTATCCAATCTTAATCCTTTTGAATTCTTTATTTTAGACATTTTTTCCTATTTTGGACACAATTTTATTCATTTAAACGGGGCCCTTTTTAATATTGAAAACTAGAGAGATCTATTGAAAAAAACTAATCTTAAAAATCCAACAATTTTTGCAGGTTTTAAAGCAAACACAATCAAGATTCTTCCCCGATGTACAGGTAAAGAAAAAGAATTTTCAAAAGCTTAATTTTTTTAATTTCTAGTTTATCAAGAAAAACATTGAAGCACTTATTGACAAATTATATATACAACGAACTGACCAAAATGATGAATATGAATATATTTCATAAAAATATATATTTTTTATAGTTATTCATAGCCAACTGATTTATTATATTTTTAATGATATTTTAATATAAAAATTTTTAGTTAAACATTTTTTTTCCTTTGTTTTGTATAGGGCCAAGAGGGGACAGCCCTAAACGGCGCGATGCCATAACGGCGCAAAGCCATAACGATTCCTCTAATCGAGCTAGGGAGATTAGTGCCAAAATTGACAAGGACCAGACATTTTACAGCAAGTTATTGCTTTGCGCCGTTATGGCCGCGCGCCGTTTTGAGCTGTTTCCAGCCAAGCGATATTATCGAGTTTCGCAACAATAAAATATCTTGCGTCAAACTGTCCCAACTTGGATTGAGAAAATAGTGGAGAATAATAAGAGAATTAGAGAACAAGAGAAAATAAATAGTGTGCGGCAGAGTTAATTAATTCTGCTCTGAACCGTCCAATTTGTCGTTTTGTAAAATTCAAAATATCAAATGATTTGTCAGATATTTGGCTATTTGTCTTTGGAATCATTGTTTTTTTTACTTGACCTTAGGGCAAACAGCTGCAAAGCTGAGCTATTGTTACTATTACTGCAAAACTTATTTTCATTTATTTTATCTTAAATACATATTCTTGCGTTTTGCAGAAAATGGGAGATAATAATATTCCTCAAACAAAATCTCAAGTTAGCGAGGCATTACTACGCAGTTTTTTCTTTGATGTTTTATCGTTCAATAATTTATCTGAATTGGACGAATCGAGGTTATTTTCTTTAATTTTTGTAGTTAATTTTTGATATTTTAGCATTCCACCATCTTTGGAAAATTCTGGTCTACAAAGTCTTGTTGCTGATATCGGAAGACATTTTGTGCCTTCTAGTTCTCATGATGAACAGTTAAGGTAGGTTATGTTTATAAAAACTTATTTGGTAGTCTAGAACTCAATATTATGGTCTCGGTCTGTTTTTAACTAGGTTTTTTGGCATGTTTAAATTTATTGACTAATTTTGCCCATCCCTTAGAGATTCAACTATGGGTTCTACAGGACAGAGGCCTTTTTAAAGATGCTGAACCAGGCCCGTATCCAGGGGTTTCCTCCGGCGCAAAAATTTAGCTCCGTAAGTGTTTTTCCCTGTTGCTCCCGAATATTTTTCCTGGCTGCGGGCCTGTGTCGAACTGTTAACTTTTTGCGTATTATCTGTCATCTCCCTTGTCAAAACCTTTTTAAATATCACAAATTTTCTTCAATTTTTTTCTTTCAATTTTTTAAATTAGTTTCAATTTAAGTCTGCCGTCAACTTCAAGTGCCGTTAATGAAGAACAAGTTCAGTTCAAACCTATCCAAATTTTTATTGATGCAAACAATGTTTCTTGTTCATTTTTATTTATTCAATATTTTTATTTAAGGAAGTTGATGTTGATCAACCGTCAACTAGTTCATCGTTGGATAGCTCGCAAATGGATTCTCTTCAGGTTTTTTAATATTTTGGTTAGAATTTCCTACATGCTTTTTATAATTTCCTGTTAGCTTTTAAGAAAAATCGTCGAGAATTCGTTATGAAAGAAGGTCTCAAAGGATTTTTCCGCCTGCTAATTAAACGCTGTTAAATGTGTCAAAATTTTAGGGATTTATTTCACTTTCCTCTAGTCGAGCTTCCCTTTTCTTAAAGTCTTTATAGCCGTCACTAATTTAATTATATATTTTTAAGGATGCCAAAGTTTATGAAAGAATAAGGGAATTGCGTGAGGCAGGTCTTTGGGAATCTACCCGTCTTCCAAAATGTATGGATCCACCAAGAAGAAAAACACATTGGGATTTCTTTATGGAAGAAGTTTTGTGGTTGGCAAATGATTTTTCGAATGAAAGAAAATTTAAGCGTCGATTGGCTAGCAAAGTTTTTTTATTCTTTTAGTTTAATAATTTTATTTTTCATTAAGTTTGCTTCTAATGCAAAAGCCTCATGGCGTAAAATTAAAGAATTGAAAAAAATAAAGACAACATCAGAATTGTTAAGGGATGAGAAAGAAGCAAAGCGCATTTGTGGATCAATAGCTAAAATGATTCGTGAATTTTGGCAAAATGTGGACAAAGTTGTGGACTTTAGAGCAAATGTAAGTAATTTAATTTTTCCGAATTTATTATTTAACAATTAATTTATTGTTAGCCCGAACAATAAAAAACCCAAGCATGCCATACTTATTTTTAGCAGTTTCAACATTAAACATTTTTTGGAGTCAACATCGATTCTCTTTCTTAAAACTAATTTAAAATATTTAGGAAATTGTTGAACTTAAAAAAAGGAGAGCTCTCGATCAACATTTAAACTTTCTTGTTGGTGCTGCTGACAAAATAACATCATTAATTCATGAAAATTTTGCAACTCAATCCAATGGCCGTTCTTCTACTGTTCTTTCTAAAAGTTCGGATGATTTTGAAATGGACAGTGAAAGTGATGATAATGAATCAACACTTGATGTAGAAGAAGCGAATGGAACAAAAGGATCAGTCGAAGAAGAATTAGATGAATTAAGTAAAGAACAAGATATGGATATGGATCAATTACTTACATCGGTAAGGTTTTTAATTTACATATCTTTTGCCTGGCAAGATTTTATCTCTTGCCTTTTCTCTTTCATTTTATCTATTCTTCATCTTCCTCCTCCAATTACAACTGAATAAACCTTACAAGGAAACATCCCGAACTCTATGTGAAAATTTCGTAATTTTTTTGCGCCAAAAATAGGTATTCGGTTTTCGACTATGCTCTACACGATGGTGCAAAAAATTTACGGAATTTTTACATACAGTTCGGAATGTTCCCTTGGTAACCCTTGTACGCTTTCTCTGTGAAATTTATCTAACACATGTTCGTATTTGGAAATTTTGAAGGTCTATTGGGGATAATTCTTTAATCAAATTTCTTTTAACTTACCTTTTAATATAATTAATTTTTTAGTTACCAGAAGGCTATCTCGAATCCTTAGGATATTCTGTTCCTACAAAAGATATTCAGCCTGATGTGAATGAAAGCTTGAATGATGAACAGACTCGAACAACTGCTGATTTAGAACAAGAGGAGGAAAGCACAAATTTTAATGAAAAACCAGATCTTCGGAATGTTGATTATAACAAATTAAATTCAGAAAATAGTGAAGTTAGGAGACAACAACTTGATAATATTGCTGAAGCTGCTTTAGAGTTTCAACCTAGAGGTTATACTTTGGAGACTACCGAGGTTAGATTTTTATTGAAAAGCCCGGATAGTTTTTAGCTTTTTAAAATAACCCATTTGCCGAAAATCTAAGAGAAAATTGGTCTTTACTAATAAAGTATTGACTTGGGTTTTATCAACTACTCTAGTTTTGCCCTTTCTTTGAAGCTATCCTTTCCTCTATTTCTAATTTTAAAATTTATTTTCAAGGTTAAAACAGAAGTTCCATTTTTATTAACTGGTCAACTTAGAGAATATCAATTAGTTGGTTTAGACTGGTTAGTAACTTTATATGAAAAGAATTTAAATGGAATACTTGCTGATGAAATGGGCCTTGGAAAAACAATACAAACAATTGCATTACTTGCTCATCTTGCTTGTGCCAGAGCTGTTTGGGGTCCTCATTTAATTATTGTACCAACATCTGTTCTTTTAAATTGGGAAATGGAATTAAAGAAATGGTGTCCATCATTGAAAGTTTTGAATTATTTTGGTTCGGCAAAGGAAAGAGCAGAAAAAAGAAAGGTAAATTTATTTTGGTTAAATGTAAGGAACAGAGCAAAAAATATTTAAAATTCTGGTTTGAAACTCAAAATTAATTGTAATTGGGTTCTGAATGGTCTTCGTCCCTACCCCTACCCTCCTTTTTTCGATTTTCGGTTTACCTTCTTTAATTTACCCCTACCATATTCCAGCGGGGTGTCATTTTCTGTATAAAACTTGAGAACATGAAACAAATTTACTCTTTTCTTTTAATATTTTCTTTGCCAGGGTTGGTCAAAATCCAATGCATTTCACATTTGTATAACCTCATATAAGCTAGTAACTCAAGATATTCGTGCATTTAAAAACAAAGCTTGGCAATACTTAATTCTGGATGAAGCACAAAATATTAAAAATTTTCGAAGTCAAAGATGGCAATTATTAATTGGATTACGTTCTCGTAGACGTTTATTGCTTACAGGTTTTTTCTAAATTAATTTTTTTCTAACAATTTTTAGGAACTCCTTTACAAAATTCTTTGATGGAACTATGGGCTTTACTTCATTTTTTGATGCCAAATGTTTTTGCTTCGCATGATGATTTTAGAGAATGGTTTCATTGTCCAATAACTGGAATGGTTGAAGGGAATACAGAAGTCGATCAAGCACTTGTTCAACGTTTACACAAGGTTATTGTTTATAGTTTTCTATTGATGAAAATGTTATAGAATGAGAAAGGTTTGTCTTAATAATTAAGCAGAGAATTATGTTTAATTATCTTAACTTTTCAAAGCTACCTATTTTTTTATTTTTTTTTTGTTGAGGGAGAGTGTGACGACCTTTCTGATTCTTTCTCTTTTTTATAGATCTTTATTTTTAATTTCTTAATTTTTTTATAGATTCTTCGCCCATTTATACTTCGTCGGCTTAAATCTGAAGTTGAAAAACAATTACCAACCAAAACAGAACGTGTTCTTTTATGTCATTTGTCTAAAAGACAACGTTATTTATACAATGAATTTTTATCTAAAACATCGTTTGTTTTGTTTTATTTTTTTTTTAAATTTTTTTTATAATTTTAGAACAGTAGAAAACCTCAAAACAGGCAGTATGTTTTCCGTTTTAGGAGTTATTATGCAATTACGTAAATGTTGTAATCATCCAAATTTGTTTGAACCTCGTCCAGTTGTTTCTCCTCTAATTATTCAACCAATTTCACCTCAATTTTCTTCTCAAATTTTTTCTATCAATCAAAAACTTGATGCCTCAGAATTGTGTTATGGAAATTCTTTTTCTTCCGATTTTGTTTGGAAAACTTTTAAAGAACTTTTATTGAATGGAAATTTTGGAAATAATTCTGTAGAACAACAAATACTTCCTTTAATTGATGGATTGAAATTTGTTATGGATAAAAATGGAGGGCATTTCTATAGGCCTAAAATAACACAAGAACATGGAGAGGATGAATTAATATGTAATGGATTGGAAGAAAATGTTTGTTTGTTTTTTAATTTTTTATTTTGGAAATGGGGAATTCTTGCAAATTTAAAAAAATCCACTTTGATGACCGAGAATGGATTGTAAATGAATTTTTTGGTTTCAAGTAGCTCCATTCGGGTTGTCCTATTCCCATGGTTGTCTTCTTCCAATTTTTAAATCCGCCCATTTTTTTCTCATTTCATTTCAAAATTTATTTTCTACTTTTCAGTCTTCTAACCCAATTGAATTTGTTAACAATACAAGAAAACGTAAAATGTCTCCACAAGAAGCAACAACATCATCAGAATTATGTCTCAAAATTCAGGCAAATACAGAATCTAATAGAATATTACCAAACTTTTTAAAATCTCCAAGTTTCCGTTTAAATACATTAATTCAAAAGAAAGAAAACGAGAATAAGCGAATTGGAGTTTGGTTAAGTACTTCTTTAAAGCAATTTTCAAAGCCATTAATGTCTACAGAATTAATGAATTTTTGTAGAATAATTCCAAATAATTTTCAATTAGAAGAGCCTTTAACAACAAAATTACCAAAAATTAAAAGGTTTAATGGTCAAAGTATTATTGATGAAATAAACGAAAGAATTGGACAAAATGTCCTTGAATGGATTGAAAATTCGTTGAATAGGTATTTTGGATTTTTATTTGGGATAAATCAATAAATAGATGGATATTAGGTTTTTGAGTCTGAAGAAATTTGATTGAGAGGAAACTTTAAGGAGATTAACTGTGTTGGTTTGATGACACTAGATTATTTTACGAATCTTAAATAAGGTTGTCGGTTCTGGGCCGAAAAAAGGACCGAGGATTTTCGCTTCGGTTCAGAATATCCGAAGAAACAACTCGTTCTGATTTATAGTTTGAAAGGTTCCCTTGTAACTTGTAGATGATGTACTAGCTATTTATTATCTATGATTATTATTCATTTTTGGGTACTCATATTTAATCAGTTTTTTGTAACTTTTATTTTTAGCTTTCTCATTTGCGTGCAAAGGCTCCTTGTAGAAAGATGCTTTGAACCTCCACAACGTTTCACTTTACAACAAGAGAATCTCCGTTTACTTATACATAATATTTATTCTTCTCAAATTTCTCTGGCACATAAAGCTGAATTAGCAGCAAAATTGGAATTTCCAGAATTGCGTTTAATTGAATATGATTGTGGTAAGGAAGAATAAATTATTTAAAAAGGGAATTCTCAAAATTAGAGCTCAAAGAATTTTGACAAATCTCTTAAATTTTTTTGATTTTTTAAATTTTGGAAATTTTCTGAAAAATATTTTCCATATTTTTTCTGGTTAAAAGTAGACAAGGTCTCTACAAAAATAAAACGGTTCGTTAAATAGTAAGCTGGTAGCTGAACGTTGTAAGCTAGGGGAAAACAATATTTTGACTCCTAGGAGAAAAACATTTTCCTATCAATAATGTCGGAGAACTTGTAGGTCCGTTTAATTTTACTTATATTTGCCTAATTAATATTTTTTTCTTCTTTTAAATAAAAAATAATTTTATAGGAAAGCTTCAAGTACTCGCCAGGCTATTAGAACAATTATATGAAAATAAACATCGTTGCCTTATTTTCACCCAAATGTCAAAAATGTTGGATATACTTCAAGCATTCCTTTCTCATCATAATTATAACTATTTTCGTTTGGATGGTTCAACTCATATAGATCAAAGACAAGCAATGATGGAACGTTTTAATACTGATAGTTCTATATTTTGTTTCATTCTTTCTACAAGAGCTGGGGGTATTGGTGTTAATTTAACTGGGGCCGATACTGTTATATTTTATGATTCTGATTGGAATCCGGTAAGGATTAATTTTTGTTTTGGAAATTTAAATATTTAAAATGATTGTTATTGAGTTGGGCAGGGGCCTATGCAAATTAGATCATATTTCTGATATGACGTGTCATATTTATGACATGTCATATGTAGCTGTTCAAATTGTATCATATTTACGATATGATATCATATTTATGATATCATATGCCTCATATGACACGGGGATATGACAGCTACATATGACGGCCACATATGACGCCATATCATATGCAGCCGTCATATGTAAATTATTCTGTTCAAATTAACATATGATATGACACCCGCATATGATTTCCTTATTGAGTCCCAATGAATATCTCAATTGAGTCCCAATGAATTTATTTTAAAAAATCCAAATCTCTATGCGGGATTATTTCAAAAATGTTGCGTGATGGATTTTATAAAATCCCGTTAATAAAAATTGTTGGAATCTTGAGATTTTTAATTTTTTTCATTTAAATTTAATTTTAAACTGAAAAATTAATCATTTAAGGTTAAAATAAATTATATATTTCAATTAGGGTTGCTCACGACCGGTTATTAACCGGTACCCCCGGTTTTCGGTTAATCCAAATTTTAAAAATCGGTTTTTGGTTTTGAGTTTTAGGCAAATACCGGTTTTATTTTGGGGGAATTTTTAATAAAACCACTAATTTTCAGAAGTTTTCGGTTTTTTAAATTTTGTTTTTAAAAATCGGTTAATTTTTGGCAAAAAATATCAAAATTTTCGGTTTTAAAACCGGTCGTTTTCCTCAAAAAGTAGTATTTGCCTTCCATTTCATTGTACATATACATATCACCGCTTTTTTGTGTGTTTTACTTTTTTGTAGAACTTCCTTATTTTGATTTTTTAAAGCTTGTTAATTTTTAAAATAATTTTTTTTTCATAGACAATGGATGCTCAAGCACAGGATCGTTGTCACAGAGTATTTTTTTTTTTATTTTTATCAAATCTATTAATTAAATTAATTTCTTTTTTTTCTATAGATTGGACAAACAAGAAATGTAACAATTTATCGTTTAATTAGTGAAAGAACAATTGAAGAAAATATTTTAACAAAATCAACACAAAAAAGGCGTTTAGGGGAAATGACAATAGATGAAGGGGAATTTACTCCAGATTTTTTTAAATCAGCAAATAATTTGAGAGAATTATTTAATAATGAAGAAACTGTTGCAAATATATTAAAAGAAAATGAAGAATTAATTAAAAATAATAAAACTTCAACAAAAGAATTAGAAATGGCTATGTTAAGTGTTGAAGATACACAAGATGTTTTGGCAGCACAAAAAGCTAAAGAAGAAAATAATGTTGATTTAATTGAATTTGATGAAAATACTCTAAATAATGGAAGGGGAGGAGGAGGTGGAGAAGAACGTGGAAATAGTTATATTGAAAGTCCTTCAGAACAATATTTGGAATTAATTAATGAGGTGAATTTTTTGTAGTAGTTTTCTGATTTAAAAAAAGGAAAGTTGCTGTCTCATGTCAGTTTTTTAATCTTGCCCATATAGTTTCGAAGTTCTTGTCTGGTCAAGATAGCCGCCGGGTTTATCAAAAAAATTTTTTCTATTTATAAAATGTGGCCTTAATCAGATTTTGTTCTTGATAGTCGTAATTTTTCATTTGAGAAATTAACTTATCGAAACTAAAGTTTAATATTAAATGTTCCGTTGGTGTCCTACTCCTTGAAGGAAAAAGTGCAAGAAAAGGAAGGAAAAATCGCATTCTCTTTGCGGACAGGTAGGACACCAACCGGACATTTACCAAGTTTAATTTATTTTAAATTTAATTCCTATAATAGAAATTTAGTATAAAGTACAATAATAAACGTTTTATTTTTTTAGTTAAAACCAATTGAACGATATGCCGTCAATTTTCTTACAAATGAGTACAGGCCTGCTTTAGATAAAGAATTTGAAGAAACTGAGGTATAATTATTTAAACTTCTTTAAGAATCATTTTTTTAAATAAAGGCATTAATTCGAGCAAAACAAAAAGAATTTTTGCAAGACAGTAGTGAGGATGATGTTTCTGATAAAGGAAGTATTATTAGCAAAAAATCATCAAAAAATGGGAAACAAAATAAACAGCAAAATAAACATAACAACAACAACAACAAAGCAACAATTGAACAAAATATTACTTTTGATGCAAATTTAAATGAGGTATTGAAAAAAGAGGAGAGGGTTAGTAGAAAGAATAGTAGTAATTCTCTTAAAAATAAAAAGGGTTCTAGTAGTAATATAATTGTAAAAAAGCGTTACAATACAAGAAATTCATCTTTAAATATACCACCAACAACAACAAGTCAACAATCATTAAATAATAATTTTGCTATCCCTCAATTACCTCAAACAAGCAGTAATGGATTTGGTAGTAGTAATAATAAGAGCAGGAAAAAAGGCTCTTAAAACTATTTTTTTAATAATTTATAGGGCGTTTTAAAATTTATTTTAGAAAAAAAAAGATTTTATACGAGTATTTTTTTGTTTAGTTTTTTTGTCTATTTTTTGTAGCGTTTATTAGATTTGCCTTTTTTTTGGTTGGTAGTTTATAATTTGAGAATTAAATGGGAGGAAACGACTACTAGTCCTTCAAAATATTTTTAGATACCTCAGTATTAGTGTTTCGCCGGAACCGCAAATTTGGCAAATTTGTAACTTCTGGCGAAACACTACCCAGTATCTCACACTACCAAATAATCTCTGTTGATAATACAATTTTTGAAATTTATTTAGTCATTAGGTGTGGAGGGGACGTGTTTTAGTTGTCCCTTAGACTACAAATTTTAATTTTTTTTCAAAAAGGCAAATCTACTTTTAAAACTCTTTTTGTTCAATTGTTTTATTATTTACCTGCCAATATTCTCCTCTCTCTCTTTATTTTTATCATTATTATTACACCTCTTCTATATATCCAAATCTTAAATATTTTATGCGTTTATTCTCAATCACATCAACTGCAAGACTTTGCTCTTTTGTATAATTGAAAGTTTTAAAGAATCTTTTTTGGAAAAGAAGATTTTTTTATAATAAATAAATTTATTAAAATTTTTGGAGCAATTGTTTTCATCGCGAGGCCTTGCTCTTTAAAAAAAAATATTTTTTAAAGAAATACAAGCTCCAAAATATTTTCAGATTTTTATTCAAAAGAGCAAGGTTTTGCTTGATGTTGGGGATTGGTGGTTTTGAATATTAAGTGAGGGTAGTGGTAGTTATCTAGTTTTAATTTTAAGCGTAGAATTTTTAAAAAAGATTATTTTGGAAATACAGACGAGGTCGGGAGGAGATAATCAAATTAAGCTTTAACTTCCCCTATTTTCTCTTAACATTTAAATTCAAAATTTACAGCAACTTTAAAAAATACATCGAAGCTAGTTAATTTATAGGCTCCTTTTTCCTATTTAAATTTTAGTGTATCTCTTTCCGGAAACTTTTCGGGGATATGAAATTAATTTTCTTGATTACATTTATTTCCTTCCCTTCTATAAACTTAAAAAATCGCTTTATTTTTAGTTACCATTCTTCGCAACTTTGGATATGCCATTTGAAGAAATCCCGGTTATTTCTTTAATAAAAATTTTCAAAATTTTTCTTGTCTATATTCAGGCTTGGATGCCTCCATCACCACCAAATTCAATTTTAGATTTGGAAGAAGAAAATTGGAATTTTAATTCATTTGAAGATTCATTTTTCTACGAGCCTTATCAAATGCCCGAAGAGTGTTTACCTCAATTACCTCCACTAATTTCTATTAACGAAATACCTCCACGTATTTCTATTCGAAGACAAAGAAAATTTTTGAGTTTAACAACAACAACAGAAGATTATTTGTCTTCTCTACCTTTATCTCCAAAAATATCCCCTCCTCCACCTTCAATTCCAAAACACAGAAAAAGGACAGGTTCTGCAGCTTCTAGAGGTTCTTCTGTTACGAGTGGAAGAAGATCTCGTTTAGGTAGTTTTTTTGGGAGATTCTTTCAATTTTCTTAATATTCCCTCCAGGGCAGTCTGCAATCGCTAACTGCTTATTGCGTAAATTGCGAGGTTTTTCGGATTTGCGGATTTCGGCTGCGGATTTTAAAATTAAAATTGCGGATTATTTCTGCGGAGAATTTTTTTCAGTTGCGGACAGCCTTGATTCCCTCTCTTCCCTCTTTTCGTAAAATAAAAACACTTTTTTATAGACCAACACAATAAAGGATTACTTTCAATATCAACACCACCAAATACAACAACAACACCCTCAACACTTTTATTATCACCTCCAGGTACTCCATCATTAATTCCATCCTCAACAACAATTCCAGTAGAAAAAACTACAAGAGAGGAAAAATTGAATATTCATCAAAGATCAGCACAACCTTCAAAATCTAATGTTACTATACCTGGAACCGTTCCCTCCTCTTCTTTTAGTTCTCTTGATGGTATTTAATAAAAATAAATTTATTTGTTTAAAAAGTTAATTATTTGTTTGGATATCCTCTTCGGTTTTAGAGAAAACAAGTATTAATGTTCGACAAATGAAATTTTCCGGTACCGGTAGTACCGAAAAGTACCGGTGTACTGAAATTTTTAAATCACTGGTTAGTAGTGCCGGAAAATACAGAATCGGAACTTTCGTTAGGACCGGAAACTATGTATCCTCAAAAATTTTAAAGTATTTCCATTGGGACGTGGATAACCGAAGTTGAATCTTTTCATTTATTATTGTTCTTCGATTATAGTAAATAAAAATAAAAAATAATAATTCAGAATCAATCGAATCAACAGTCAGAAAAAGTCGAAAACAAGCTGGACATGGTCCTATTTCTCGCTACATGTTTGTTTTTCAAAAAAAATTGTTTAAAAATTTTAAAAAATTTAGAAGTCGAAATAATGGACAACCTCCTCAAAAATGGGAGGAACGTCTTCCTTCAGACCCTTCACGTTCTGTATTTCGCCTAGTTTGTCCGGAATGGCGTACAAATCCTTCACTTTTGAATTTGCCTCAAGGAATCGAGGATCATGATTATGAGGGGCAGCCTATTTGGAGTGCTAATGAAGATATTCGACTTTTGAAGGTGTTTTTTTGTTTGCATTCTGATAGATTCTGTTTCTCCTATGAAAATGTACTATCTAAATCTCTAACTATCAGAATCTCTAACCAGAATACAGAATATGTTAGAAGTCATAATAATGTAGGGAAAGTATTCTACATTTTCCGGATTTGTTTATTTTCCGGAAGAAGGTTGGACACTAAATGAGAAAATAACATTGTATATATTTATTTAGGGGGCAGAATCTCCAAAATCAAAATTTTTAATTAAAATTAAAAATGTAGGCATTAACTTCTAAACATGGAATGGACACGTACACAACACCAACAACAACACAAAATGTCAATTCATTCCAGCCAAATTGGAATTTTGTTTCGCAATATGTTAATATTTGTTCTAGTCATTATAGGTACTTTACACCTATTTTTATAGAAGAGATTAAAAATTATTTTTTTTTGTTCAGGTCGCCTCGTCAATGTGCTCTTCGATATCACAACCAAGTATTACATTGTGATGAGTCTACATCCTCATCTTTTGATCGAGGTGAATTATCTCCCCTCCATATCCTCTCCCCCCTCTCTATCTCCCCTCTCCCCTTGTCAATGCCCTTTCAATTTATAAAATATTTTTTTAGCTTCATCTTCCCGAAAACGTCAACCACCAACAACTTCAACTTTATTAAATTCAGTTATTGTTGACAACAATTTTTGTAATACAGACACAACAAATTTAGTTAGAAGAAGGGCAGGATTAATAACAGAAATAACAAAACAAAATCGTTTAAAATATTTACCAGAAAAACAACAACAACAAACACACCATCACCACCACTATTCTTCACAACAAATTTTGTGTTTAACTGGAAGATTACCACAACACCAAGAACAACGTTTACTTGAATTAGGGGCTAGATACACAAATGTTGTTAGACCTATGGATGTTTTGGATGTTAAATTTATTAAAAAACAGCAACAAAATTTGACAGAAAATAACAACACTAATAACAATAATACATAAATTGTTAAGGAAAATCAGAATATTTTTTTTGTTTTTTCAAAATTCTGATTTTTGTGTTTTTTTAGAATTTCATGCAATTTCATCTTTCTAAATTCATTTATTTGTGGATTCAATCAAAATAAAAATGATCTTTTTGTTAAACTATTTTTTTATTTCAACGAGTTTGAATTATTTTCATCTCGCGTTAGTAAATTTAAAAAAGTAATGCCTAAAGTGAGGTGTTCCAATTTTTTATGGTACGTAAAGTTTTTCCTCAAAATTCAGTTTCGATTTACTCGGTGAACACACTACATATTAAAATTTTAAAGGGAGGAGGAACTTAGATTCGAAAATTCGGACCACTCCGATTGCTAGCAAATCTACTGGAAGGCTCGTTCCCGTGCTTTCGAGATATCTCCTATATTATATACATAGAATGACAAAACAATCATCTAAAACAATTTATTTACAAACAAACAATATTTACAAAACATCACACTGGAAAATAGGGACAATAAGAATCACACAAGAAAATATGGGGAAATTACATAATAGATATGAGGGAAGAATTGTTTTCCTATATTATCACATTTCGACGTCATCATCCTCCGACAACCGCTTACATGTTGTACTCGATTGGAAGGTTCTTGCGGCGCACCATACCGTCACCCTGGAACCACTCGCGGCGGAATTGCTTGGCTGCTCCTTCCGGTGTGTTGGTCCATTCGACGGTGACACGATCGTTGTTGGTCGCTTCCGCAGCCGGATCGAAGGCGTCACAAGAGATGGCGATGTTGATGGCCTCCTTCGGGTCGAGAACACCGTTGGGCGGGTCCATGTTCAGACGGCGAGGGTTGGTCGTCTTGAATGCGAAGCCGATACGATGCCCACCAGAGTTGATGATCTGTAAAAGTGAAAAGAATATTAATGTTAGAGATTAAATTGATAAAAAGTGTGAAACTTCACCTTCATGTAGTAGGTGTGCTTGTCGTCGAACGGCGCGTTGAAGATGACCTTCACGGCAGGAAGAGTCGTGATGTCGCCGGGTGGAACAGACGCCATTGTTGTTGTTGAGAACGGTTTGTTGTAGCTGGAATTGAAGTTGAAGAGAAAGCAAGTTGGGGAAACTGGTGTTTTACTGCCTCTTTTATACTCTTATGTTCAAAATCAGTATGCTTGAGATCGAAACTATAAAAACCCTAATAATGCTCCAGTTTCCCCAACTTGCTTTCTCTTCAACTTCAATTCCAGCTACAACAAACCGTTCTCAACAACAACAATGGCGTCTGTTCCACCCGGCGACATCACGACTCTTCCTGCCGTGAAGGTCATCTTCAACGCGCCGTTCGACGACAAGCACACCTACTACATGAAGGTGAAGTTTCACACTTTTTATCAATTTAATCTCTAACATTAATATTCTTTTCACTTTTACAGATCATCAACTCTGGTGGGCATCGTATCGGCTTCGCATTCAAGACGACCAACCCTCGCCGTCTGAACATGGACCCGCCCAACGGTGTTCTCGACCCGAAGGAGGCCATCAACATCGCCATCTCTTGTGACGCCTTCGATCCGGCTGCGGAAGCGACCAACAACGATCGTGTCACCGTCGAATGGACCAACACACCGGAAGGAGCAGCCAAGCAATTCCGCCGCGAGTGGTTCCAGGGTGACGGTATGGTGCGCCGCAAGAACCTTCCAATCGAGTACAACATGTAAGCGGTTGTCGGAGGATGATGACGTCGAAATGTGATAATATAGGAAAACAATTCTTCCCTCATATCTATTATGTAATTTCCCCATATTTTCTTGTGTGATTCTTATTGTCCCTATTGTAGTATAATTGTTTGTTTGTAAATAAATGTAAATTTTTGGAGTGTTTGTTCTATATATCGTGTTTAACCTTTGAGTAATTCCAAATCCTTGAAATTTACTTTTGCTTGAAAGTAAGTGAAACAGGACGTTTTAATAGAAAAGTTAGGAATACTACATCAGCACTAAAATAAAAGTTCCTCATTTTAAGGTCCAATCAAATATAAAAAAAACTAAATCTTAAAGTTTAGTGTCAGCTTTTCTTCAATATAAAATTGTTAAATAAATTAAAGTCAAATAAAATTATTTAAAAAATTCAGGAAATACATAAATTCAAAAACAAGTAATTAAATATTTCATTAAGGCTAGACGCAATTGAATTCTTTTATCCATATAATGGATGCCAAACTATTCTGATGAGAATTTTCTGGGGTTTTCATATAATTTCCAGGATTAAATATTTCCTAAACAAAAGCCAATTGTGGACATAAAAAATTACAGCTAATCACAATTGCGTCCACCCTGATTATCGTTCCCATTTATCTGGCTCCTATTCCCCATTCATGCTCCTATTTTCCACTGATATCCAGAGTCTGCTGATATCCTTAACCATTTGTGGTGAATAGAGGAAAGCATGAAAAATGGGGATAAATATTGGAAGTAATTATATTTAACTTTACATAGTTTTTATAGAAAATTCAGAATTCCTTCCGGAAATATCAAAAAAGATGTGTTTCATTTCTTTTTTTTCTTTTCTTCTTTTATAGACCCGTATTTTACGTATTCTTTTGTAAACAAATCTCCATTAATATAATAAAAACATCCCAAAAACAAAACAGAATAAACACAAAACATCGAATCTGTGTTTTGCCCAACTTTCAGAATTTGTTGAAATTGTGTTGTTTTTTTGTTGTGTTTCTTCTGTTGTGTTCACAACAACTTTCTCTCCCTCTTCTTCTTCTTCTGCCCAAATTTCTGATTTTGTTGTTTCAGAATTTTTAAACTTCTCTTCTTCATCTGTTTCCAATTTTTCTTGAATTTCTTCTTTTTCGGTTCTATTTTCTAATAAATTTAATTTTGTTGTTGTTTCTCTATTAATTGCTTCCTTTGTTGATTCACTTGTAAACATTTGATCGGAAGAAAAGTCGATTTTCGGAAGCATCTTTTTTTCTTCTTTTTCAATTTCTGGTGGAGATAATGAACATCCTAAATAATAAAAAAATAATTTTTAATATTTCTCTAATTTATTTAGTAATGAAACACCCAAAACATAAAATTTTACAAGAAAATTGTTAACAACTTCGACATTCTCCTTTTATAAATTTCAGAATTTTTCGTTAAACTATATCAGAATTAAATTATTTAACTAGAGCAGGATATTTAATCGAGTTCGAACCAGAGATGGGCGAAAATTTCGTTTTGTGTACGAAAATAAACGCCTATAGGTGTGAAGGAAAAGAAAAGAAGAGGAATTTTTCTTTACGTTCCTTAAGGAAATGAAAAAGAAGAGGAGAGCCATTCATATTTTCCTTAAAGCTGATAAAGAAGAAGAGGGAACACGAAACAAAAAATTTTCGCCCATCTCTGGTTCGAACCCCAAAAACCAGGATTTCATAAAAATACTCGGTTTCCGGGCTACGGGGACCGACCGCCATTCCACTATGGTGCAGTGGTTAAAGCGCTGGTTTAGCCTTGTGAAAGGCTGGCGGTTCGACCCCGGTTGTTTGTTTTTGTCTGTTTTCTGAAGGAAAAGGGTTTATTTTTTACCTATATCAGTGTTTCTTAAAAATTAAATTTAAATAAATTTTTATTTACCTCTATAAAATTCATTAGCCCAAATATTATTTAAATCAAAAACATGAAGCAAAGCTTCCTCTCCACATTTAGAATTTATTTGAATAGCCAAACATTGTAATAATTTATTTATTGCTTTACAAACATTTTCCCCAGCATTTTTAGCCAATAAATCAACATTTCTAAATTCATTTAAACACTTCTGTCCATTTTCTGTTTCGGTTACATTAAATAAACAATTTCCAAATTGCCGGTGATCTCTTCGGGTTATCTTTTTGAAGAAAAACAAAATTTTTTGTTAAAATTAAATGAAAAAAGGCTTTTCAGTAGAGTTTAAATCCGGGTCCGATTTTTTGATCCGATGGTCCGGAATCCGAGTATTTTGATAAAACCCGGATTTTCCTGGTTTTAATCCAGAAAATCCGGTCCTGTTTAAAATAAAAATCCGGAAACCGGATCCGGCATTTTGCTAACTTTAAACTCTAGTTTTTCAGTACCTCTCTTTCACAAACATTTTCGTATAAAGTTAGTGTTGCTTTAGTAGCTGGTTCTGGTCTACACTCAAGTACCTTTTAAATTAATTTGAGTTAAATTTTTATGAAAATGGTAATATTCCTGAGGGAATTGGAGAGGTTGTTTCCAATTTTTTAAATTGAAAAAAATTATTTTTCGGCACTTCAGGAAAACATAAAAAAATAAAAAATTAGTTTTCAGTTAGAGGGAATTGAATCGGATCTTGACTAATATTTTTAAATATTTTCTATAAAACCTCCATTTCCTTACTTCCCCCTTTAAATTAATATACCCTCAAAAATCATTTCTTTAAACTACCTCAACACATTTTCTAAATTTTGTGTAGGCATTATTACAAAAATCATCCCATTGACTTTGATTTGAAATAAGAGAGATTGGTCTAGGTCTAAATCTGTCAAGTCCAGTCTCGCATTCCAAATAGTTAACTAATTGTTGTCTTTAAAAAGAGGTTAATTTTTAAATGATTTAAAGGAAAATAGATTTTTTGGATTTGGCTCAAGCTTCCCTTAGATTTAAGGGAATGAAGTAGTTTCCCTTGGAATTTTTTGGAGTTTTTTTTTGTTTTTTATTTTAATCCTTGGGGAACCTATTCTCCCATTTTTTATCAATTTATTAAAAAAACAAACTCTGTACAGCCCGTTTGTAAGGAAATAACAGGCGTTTCTAAACGGCATTTTGTACTTGGAACTAACTAGAAAAATTCAATTAATTATTTATTTTATTCCTCAACAACAACCTGCCCAACAAATTCATTACTAGCAGAAAAAACAAAATCTAAAGCTTCATTTCCACATTCAGTAAATATTTTAGAAGAAATACAATGAGAAGTTTTATTTATTTTAAAACAAAATTCTTCATTATTTAAATTTTTTTGTTGT